TTAACAGGACACCCATGTTTCAGGAACCCAAAACTGTTACCTTATTAGTTGTTTTCTTTCCAGATACAGGGAAAAGGACTGCCCAGTTGAAGATGTTTTTAAACAGAAAATACATTTAAAAACAAAGTAAAACAATATATGATGTGTGTATTACACGAATATGGAACACTTATTTCTGCGTGACTTTCCATTCAGGTTAACATGAAGATTTTATTTCTATGATTAGCTTTGATTTATAACCATATTTTGTGGGGCTGGAGGGAGGTTCCTGCTGCACTTATATTTGTGATCTAGCGGGAAAAACAGGCAACTAAGGAAAAGAATTTTAATATCTGATAGGCTTTTTTTTTTCCCATTTAACTTTTTATTTGTTTATCAAAGTATAAAATACAAAGGAAAAAAAGCATGAAAAAGTAAGGAGAGAGGGACGGAAAAAGAAGGGATGTAGTGTAGCGGGAGATAAAAAGAAAAAGATACCAACTTCCAATTCTCTTTAGCACAGTAGAAAGTAACAACATTACAACCACAACTTTTTGCTTTTACACAACAGTATGTACAAGCCATTTCTATAACAATAAGCCTGTCTAGTTAACAAAAACAAAATGTCATGTTTTTTCTCATTGTAAGCACAAAATCCGGAAGCAATTTCAAAATAGAGACAAAATTAAATATATTCTCTTCTTTAGATAAAAGAATCAGTTTAACCATCTTTGCTTTTCTTTGCTGTGGGGGATAATATATCATTCATTCTCATATTTTCAAATCTAGTCAATAATATTTTACAAACTTTGGAATATTATTCAACATGACTTTAAAAACCTGAGGACAGGTGTTTACATACATAGTAATTTTATACATACAAAACTAAATTAAAGCTTTCTATCAGTACATATATCACACTTTTAAAAGTTCATCCTTATTAATTAAAACATTTAGGCACTCCCTCCCTCTATTTTCATAGAATAGAGTCTTTTTCTTCTCAGGAGAGTCTATCAGATCTCTTTTCTTGAAAAAATTCTCAGCTTCTGATAGGCTTTTAGTCTAATTGGTTTCTGTACAGCAGTAATGGAGGATTGAATTGAAAGTATTGAAATGTTTATCTATGGTGACTTTTTCACTGATATAGTAATTAAGTTCTAATTGAGTATTTTAAGCCTTTTTCAGGCTGATCCAAATCTTCCTAAAACCATTCTTTAAGATTCCCAGTGAGCTTTTTAAACAAGTGAGCCATCTTGTTCTTAGAATATTTTTGTTTTCAGAGTCTTGGTCTTTGTAATCCAATTCAATCTGTCTAGTAAAAATGCCCACTCATATAAAGGAAAGCACTGCTCTTCTGTGCGGAGTAGAAGAATATTTAGAGGGCATTTGTCAGAGGGCTCTAATTTTAATGGACCCACCTAATTTTTAGACATATCTCTCTGGTACAGCATCAATGACTTGTTACATGACCTCTTCCCAGGCCAGGCAAATAGTCCTTGCTGGCAATGCTTCTCTGTTGAGTATTGAGGCACCATACGCTTGCTTGTTGAACCTTTCATTTGCTTTAGTCTCTTTTTTTTACTCTTTGTGATTCTTCTTCCTCTTTATACTTTTCTTTTAATTTATTTATTCCTAGTAATGACCCAACTCACCCTTAATATTTCATATGAGTTGCTTACAAAGAGATTCCAGTAACTCAACCCAGCTCTAGCTAATGCTTGCTTGTCTATTGCATTGTATCATGAATAAGTCCTTTTATTTTTTTCTCCAAGCCAAGCCAAGCCAATTTTCTGCCACTGACAGGGCTTTGGTACTCTATTCACTTCTAACTGAAAACTACACGCTGGAGTTACCTATAATCACATGAATTATGATGAAGAAATCCTCATTGGGGGCCTTTGGGAACAGATAATAACTAAGAAACACAGATTTGAGAAACACAGTTTTAGATTCTTACAGTATTTGACAGTGTTGGTTCACAGTTGTTGAATTTAAATGACTTCATACCAGTCTTTTCTCTGCCATTGTCTTTCCATTTACACCCAAGCTTATGCTTTTTAAAAAATGAATAAATAGCAGCATGTGTTTATCCATAGTAGACAGGAAAAATTCCAAATGAATCTCTTCAGGTCTTCTGTAACTTTAATTAAATGTTTACCGATTGCAGACTATTTTATTGTCTCTTGTTGGGAGCTGAGATGGACCTAGTAACTAGCATTTTGGCACTGTCTGGTAATCACCCCATAAAATAATTTGCCCGATTACTCATTAACAATTTTTATAAATGCACATTTATGCCTTTTTATTTTTTGTTTTAAATAATAATTAAAACTACTTTGTCAGATAAAAATGAAATGCAAAATCTAGTAAAACTGTCTATTTTCAGCATCTGTTATAACAGGTGATAAACTTTACAGATATAAGACACTACATGTGGCATCTTAATATTATTTCTTCAGGAAAAAGCAGGTGTTCCATTTCTAACACAATTGGCAGTACATACATTTCTACCTTACTGGTCTTATCTTCCATTTTTTACAGTGCTGAATCAATCAATTATATTTGAAGTGATATTATTCCTAGAAGTGTTGTTTTAAAAATCCAAATAAAGACATATTTAATTGCTGCTAAAGACACTTTACATTTTTATTCCCTTCCCATTACTTTTGGTTTTGGTCATTTCCCCTAAATTTAATTTCTCCATAATCTAATCATCACTATTATCATCTGCATAGGTAAACATGGTAATAAATAATATCATGAGTAAAAAATACTTATTTTTATAATGTGACTCATAACAGAAGTCAACATTCAATGAATTTATTTTTCAAAACAAGAAGAGCAGCAGGTAGAAGAGTAAAAATATTTAAAATTATTGTACATCACTTGATTTTCAAATCATATTTATATTATGCAGAACCCAATATATTTTGCATTCAGTCCTTGGATTTTCCTTGGCAGTTGTACCTAGTTGTGAGTGCACTAGTAAAATTTTTCATCTAAAATCCTGTACTTATTAGTATATAAATGTAATTGCTTCCCATATTTAGTTAAGTACTCATTATATTCATTACATTACATTACATTATATAAAGCAAATTGCATAAATATACAATCAATGGTTATGTATCTAGAATAGAATAGAATTCTTTATTGGCCAAGTGTGATTGGACACAAAAGAAATTTGTCTTGGTGCATATGCTCTCAGTGTACAGAAAAGAAAAGATACATTCATCAAGAATTATAATTCTTTGTCTTTTAGAAATGCTACAATAAGAATAACACAAACATAATAGTCTTAAAGATATGTACACACCTGCTTCTTAGAGTTCTCTTATCTGTAGAGGATACTTTTATTTACCTCTTTCCTAGTTAATGAATGGTGCTAAACATCAACATATTAAAAAGAGTCAGTTTTGTAAGGTTTTTTTTATTATGACCATTATCTGACTTTTATTTTGATTTTCAGATTTTACTCTCTTGTGTCCTCCTTGGATGCAGGAGTCTTAATTCCACCAAAAGAAAGTTCCTAGGTAGGCTATGGGAAGATAGGCCATAACTTTTGGTAAAATATTGTAGTTGATTGATAAAGAGTATGCAGAACCCAGGTTCAATGAATTGCTTCTCCAGAGAAAGCTGAGAAAAATATCTGCAAAAATGACAAACTCTTCCTAGTTGCAATAAACAATACTAAATTGTATACTTTATAACTTCTAAAGATATGCTTCAGCTTCCCTTGAACTATTTCTGGACGGTGATGGTTGGTCAATAGAAAGCAATTTTATTAATTAATAATGATTATCACCAGATATTGACTGTCATCCTGTGCAGCAGCCATTCATTAAGGGTAGACTTCAGATTTACTTGAAAAACAAATATCTTTAGGTAACCTGGTTGCACCAGATAAATAGGGCAGCTTTCTGCCAATTTCATCTAATGAGATAAATAATTTTATTCATTTATCTGTATCCTGCACTTATTATTTTTACAAATAAGGCAGTGAACATATCCAACATACCAAGGATGAAATGTAAAATTTGTTACTACCGGTTCTGTGGATGTGGCTTTGTGGTGGTGGGGGTAATGTGACTGGGTGGGCATGGCCAACTTTAAAAAAAAAAAAAACTTTTCAAAGCATTTCTTCTAATGCTTTGAAAAGCCTCTCTGCCGATCAGAGAACTCAGCTGGGATCGTCAGAGACTTTTCAAAGCATTTTTTTTACCATCTCTTTGGCCAAGAGGTTGCAGAAAAAAATGCTTTGAAAAGCCTCTGATGATACCAGCTGAGCCACACGATCATCAGAGGCTTTTTTAATTATTTTTAAAAGCATTTTTTCATCAGAAGAAGTTGTAGAAAAAATGCTTTTAAAAGTAAAAAAAAAAGCCTCTGATGATCGTGCAGCTCAGGTGAGCATGGTGGGGGGAGGGGCGCGCAGGGATTTTTGCTACCGGTTCTCCGAACCACCACCCGCCATCACTACCGGATCGGGCGATCCAGTCCGAACTGGGAGCATTTCACCCCTGCAACATACCTTCCTTCTCCTATTTTCCCCACAACAACCCTGTGAATTGAGTTGGCCCAAGAGAGAGTTACTGGCCCAAGGTCACACAGCTGGTTTTTCATGGCTAAATTGGGATTTGAACTCACAGTCTTCTCTTTCTAGCCTGGTGCTTTAACCACTAGATTAAACTGGCTCTCAATAATCCATTCTTTTTATTTGAATGACAACACTTATGTATTATTGAAATACATTGGCTCCAAAATATAGTCACATTTTATTTTTTAAAAGGCCTGTTCTTACAAATTGTCTCAGAAATGGTATATATTCTTTGAAGGCAGAAAGGCAGAAATTTGCCATCTATTGCCTATTAAATAAGATTTTTATCTATGTAGCATTTGCATTTCACTCATTAGAATTCTTTTCTAATCAATGACTCATAAACAATATGGTACTTATTGAAGTAGAAATAAAATCATATCCATAAATGAAATAATAGAGATTAAACTATATAAATACTGACCTTGTTTCTTTCAACCCTTCTTTCTGAATTACTTCCAATATTTGCTTTGCAGTCATTGGTGAATTGGGATGCTTTTCCAGTGCCTAAAAAAAAAAATATGCAAAAGAAAGTATAGTTATCAATTTACAGTTAATTATTGTGGTATTATGTATTTAATAGTTTTTTTTTTAAAAAAATGAAAAGCTCTACATTTTCTGTTAACTATAACATGTTATAACGTAGCTTATAGCAGAGTTAGAATGTTAAATCTATTTATATCAATTATTATTATCTAATTAAATCTAAATAATTAAATTAAATTAATATTAATTCAAATATTAAATATTATTTAACAATTTATTCTCATATCACTGTATCATTTTCTTTTTCATTATTTATTCTATTGTTCCTTTATACTGTATATCAGGGGAAACATCTTAGTGGATTACATAGAAAGATTCTTCACACAGTAGAGAATAAAATATGAATTTTATGTACAAGTACAATATATGATTTATATTAATTATATTTATAACAAAATATATATTATAAATTCAAAAAATATCTATATTTATATATTTTATATAAATATAAAATATTTATATTTTGTTTATTTCTATATATGAGTAAAAATAGTTCAGTCCTGAACTATGCATTCAGGACATACAACATACATTTATTTATATGTTGGTCTTCATTATTTCTCATTCAACATTTGAGGGAGGGAGGGAGGGAGGGAGGGAGGGAGGGAGGGAGGGAGGAAGGAAGGAAAGAAGGAAGGAAGGAAGGAAGGAAGGAAGGAAGGAAGGAAGGAAAGAAGGAAGCCCTGTGCACCCTTCCTGGTCCATGCCATCAGTCCCTTCACACCACCAACTTGTGCTTTTTATTTTAGATCCTGAAGTCGTTTTAACGTATTTTAGTGACAGAATGTGAAATAAAGTAGCAGGCAGTGGTGAGCTGGAGCCTGTTCCTACCAGATCACAAGAACCAATTGTTAAATTTTCTAGAATTTTGCAGATTGATTGAAAGCAAAGCCGACTTAAGTAAGATTATTATGAGAGCTGAGAGCAGGGCATCAGTCGCCTAATGGTGAGGCAACAACAATTGAGCCAGCAGAACCAGTTGTTAAAGATTTATTAGCTACCACCGGATATAGGGAATACATAGGATTTCTGACATGGATCATGCTCACTACTACCTACCTGAGTCCCTGATTATGCTTCTTGATTAACTAATTTAACAAAAGATTTCCCCAAATTTATGGTACTTAAGAGATGCTGGGTGCAAAGTTTGAAGTAGCTTGAGAATTCATGGGCCTCACCCAAATCACTGAGGGTCTAACTCACAGTGGGGGTTATATGTTGTATATATGTTTGTCTTTGGACAGAGATGTGATCTGAAGTTGAGGGATGTTACAGCACTTCTCATAGATTGATCATTCTAATTGCTTTTTAAACACTCCCTTTGACAGGAAGGTAGGATCCATTTGATTCCTTTGCTCCAGGAGCCCGAAAGACTCCAAGAGTTCAGAGGGCACTTCTGAAGCTTCTGAAGATAAGATACAGAGTTCAACTGGGGTTTTAGTCACTTCTTGCGATGAGTGAGCAGAGGCAGACTTGGATCAGATTGTTTCTGATGCCTCTACACATAGTTTCTGGAAGATTCTCAAAGGAACTTTTGGGAGATGAAACAGCACGTATCTAGAGTATCCTTGGAAGAAGTCAAAGAAAGAACCTTACCAAATACAAGAGGCTACATTGAGGTCTGCTTCATGACAAAAGCAGCAAAATATAGTTATTTTTCCATCTATGGATTGCCATAGATGGACTTTCTGTGCATGAGTTCCGAAGACCTTTCTTTCCTCCTTCAACATCCCACCATTGTCAAGATAACTTGTAAGCCTCTCTTGAGTGATTGCTTTTGATTGTTGAACTAAGTGTGACATGATGTTTTATTATATTGACTTATGTTTTAATGTTTGTATTTGCTGATTTTATTCTTTGTGTATGTATCCTGAGATGCATATTGATTGGACAGCTATATTATATAAATAAACAAACTTTGTCCATGAACCTATATTTAATATTAATGCATTCAAACTACATACACGCTCTGTATGAGAAGAGCAAATTTAACTGAGGCTTGCAAAGTACATTCTCATAATGGATCATAAATCATTAATGATTTAGTAATGTAATTATTGGACTGCTAATATATCCAGTGTTACTAATACAAAGTAACATGAGCAAAGTGATATTCATATAATTTTAAATTACATGTTTTGGATTCTAAGGATCTGATAGTCAGTCTGTAGTGTCTTTTTCTTTTTTTAAAAAAACCCTGCAATTTACTGTAAAATGCTTCACTTGAAAATCTGAATAATTATTGTTCCCATCTCCTTGAGCAGGGAAAACATGTTTTTTTCTTCCACAGAGAAGGAGCAAAAGATCTTTCATTCTTTCCCCGACTCCTTTTTGCATGAAGAGAGGACTGCAGGATAGTGAGGATTCAGGGGTAAGTCATCTTATCTTTGAGCTCATCTCAAAACATGAATTTGTCTTACTACTCTTAAGGTAGATAAACATATAGATTTCTCTCAGCTTATTTTGGTAAAAATGAAAATATCTGTAATTTAAGAAATGTAATCCTTAGCAGTGATGCTTTGTCTGAAGAAGATGTACCTGAGATGGAAACATTGACAAAGTGTTCATAGATACTAAAGGAAACTACAGGTAGTTCTCAATTTACAACAATTCGCTAAGTGTCCGTTCAAAGTTACAAGGGTACTGAAAAAAGTGACTTATGACCATTTTCACACTTATGACAATCGCAGCCTCCCCATGATCACATGACTTACATCCAAATGCTTGACAACTGACTCACATTTATGACCGTTGCAATGTCCCTGGGTCATGTGATTACCTTTTGCAACCTTCTGACAAACTAAGTCAATGAGGAAACCAAATGCTTTTCGCCATGCCCTCAAGACCCTGATGTTCCAACAGGCAGGGCTAAACATATGAACATGTGAATGATTTTTTAAATGTTATCTAATTCTGAGTTTTATTTAATTGACCAAACTAAGTAATAATTTTAATTAGCAATTTTATGATGTTTGTGTGTCTATATTTTTCTTGACTGTACACTGCCTTGAGTCCTACGGGAGAAAGGCGGTATAGAAATATAATAAATAAATAAATAAATAAATAAATAAATAAATAAATAAATAATTCACTTAACAACCATGTTACTAATTTAACAACTGCAGTGATTCACTTAACAAATGCAGCAAGAAGTCATAAAATGGGGCATAACTCACTTAACAAATTTCTCACTTAGCAACATAAATTTTGGGCTCAATTGTGGCCATAAGTTGAGGACTACCTGTATTCGATGTTTTCTACAATGTTAGCCCTTTATGATCTGCAAGTTCAGGAACAAAAAGAGTTGTAGGAGTCTTACCTTATTGTATTATATTGTATTGTAACAGAATATTGAAACCTGGACAAAGTCTTCTTTACTTCAAGTTATACACAACACAATCAATGCAGAATTGTTTTGAATTTCTTTCTCACATGTTTTCTTAGCATGCAAATACCTCTTCTCTATCAGTTTGGCATTCTCCTCCCTTATTTCTGAGTCAAACCAATATTCCATCATTCCATCGTCTAAGCCAGTGGCCCCAAACCTTTTGGGCACCAGGGACCAAAAGTTCCATGGAGAGGTTTTTCCATGGGCCAGAGGGGGAGTGGTTTCATGTGCTGCCTGCATCTCGTGGATGGGGCTTCGTTTGTTTGCGCAGCCCAGTTTCTGGCAAATTGTGGACCGGTATCGGTCCTTGGATCAGGGATTGGGGACCCCTGGTCTAAGCCATCAGAATCATATTCCATTCCATCATATTTGCATATAAAAATAGGTCAGGCAAATCATAAAGGTTGATAAGCCTGAAATGGGAGACTGAGATGAAGCTGAAATGTGACTTCCTTTCCCTTTGGTAGAAAACAAGGAATATTGTTCCTGGTGGCTATTGTCTGGTAAATCCAAAAGTAGTTCATGGGGACAGGACTTGTGTGAGTATTTTAGATGGAATTTCTCATGACCAGTTTGGATTCAGAAGACTCCAAACCAGGGGTGAAATGTTCCCGGTTCAGACCGGATCGCCCGATCCGGTAGCGATGGAGGCAGGTGGTTCAGAGAACCGGTAGCAAAAATTCCTGCACGCCCCCCCCCCATGCCCAGCTGAGCCTCGCGATCATCAGAGGCTGTTTTTTTTTACTTTTAAAAGCACTTTTTCTATAACCTCTTTGGCCAAAAAATTGCTTTTAAAAGTAAAAAAAAAAGCCTCTGATAATCTCACAGCTCAGCTGGGATCGTCAGAGGTTTTTCAAAGCATTTTTTCTACAATCTCTTCAGCTGAAGATGTTGTAGAAAAAAAATGCTTTTAAAAGCCTCTGATGATCCCAGCTGAGTTGTCTCATCGTCAGAGGCTTTTAAAAGCATTTTTTTCTGCAACCTCTTCGGCTGAAGAGGTTTAGAAAAAAATGCTTTTAAAAGTAAAAAAAGTAAAAAAAAAAAAAAAAGATGGCCATGCCCATTAACCCCCCCCCCCAAGCTACCCCCACAGAACTGGTAGTAACAAATTTTACATTTCACCACTGCTCCAAACTGAAAAACGCAGCTTGGGACATGCTGCATGTGTGCCAGGAAGAGCACGAGAATGCCACTTTGGAGGCCCTGAATGAAAACCAGTCTCAGGAGGAGACTAGCACTCAAGCATCAGAACTGACAGAGCTAGGCAACATGCAAGTCAGGTAATGATGGGCCAGATTCAAGCAACACAATGTCATTTAATGTGATTTCTTGCCTATCAAGGGCATTCCCATGCTTGGTTGCTTACGCCCACAGTGGGCATTTTTAAGAACTATCATTGCTAGCAATCCTTTGATGGAAACAATTGCTTTGTTTACTAGAACTCTGCATTTGTCTCTAGAACCTGTTGCCTGTAGAAATTCTGCACCTTTGAACCCAGGCTGGCTGACAACCCATATTTAGACTCTTGGACATCTGAACCATCACCTGAACATCCATCTGTTTCTCTCCTTGA